TAACTCCAAAACTCCACACCTGGCTCTGTTAGTAACTTGTTAGGTGAGTTTGGCTAAGTTGCTTAACTTTTTACACCTTACTCTGTTCATCTGTGAATTTGAGGTTATAATGCTAACTACAAAGGATTTTGTTGAAACCACATTATTTTACACACACATACTCATGAGATGTGTAGTATCACTTGCCCCTGAATCCACTCACTCAGAAATGTTTATTAAAAACCTGGTATATGCTAAATACTGTGATAAGCCCTGGTGGTCTAATGGTAATGAAAGGGGCATCCTGCCTCTGGAATTTATAGTCTATTTGGGAAGAGAGACTTAATCTCAAATAGTAACCGTGCAATTAATATGTAATGGTAGTTTGTGGTAAGTGCTCTGAACGAGAAGTGGAGAGTGCAGTGAAAATATATGATGGACATGGGTCTATTCTGGTTAGTCAGGGAGGATTTCCCCAGGGAAATGGCATGTGTGTAAGAATCTTGTTTGTGTAGGCAGTGGCTACATCAAGAGATCAGGGAGGGACATTAGATAAAGGTGTTGTATAGGCTCTTGTCTTTGGGTGGAATGGAGCAGGCATTGTTGGAAAATATAAAACAGGCCAGTGTGGCTGGAGCAGAGAAGCAAATGGGAGAGAGGAGTGGATGAGCTGGAGAGGAGAGAAGTAGCCAAAGACGGCATTGTGGTAACATAGTTTGGCCACTATCCTGACAGCAATGGAAAGCCATTTAAGGTTGTTCAGCAGTGAGGTGACAGGATCAGATATCGAAGTGTTTTGAAAAGATCATTCTGGCTACTTTGTAGAGATATGATTAAAGCAGGCAAAGTGGGCTTAGGAGGGTATTGCAGAAGGCTGGGCTAGTGATCATTGTAAGCTGGGTTAGAGTTATAGCTTGGTTGGAGATGGGGAGAAATTTGCAAAGATTTGAGAAGACGTATCTACAGTTACTTGCTAAATTACTTGAATAAAAATCTTCAAGATGTTTTTACATTAAAAAAAATTTCTCTGGCAGAGAAAGGGATGGAGTTATAACTTGCTGAGATTTGGACATCAATTAAAACATATCTTACCCATGCATCTTTTGAGTAGAAATAATATACTGTCTGTCACATATGTAGGATTTAGAATGTGTCACCACACAGAAAACCTATAAGATAGGTGCCATATATCACACACATATAAGAAATGAGTAACAGATGAGATACAGAATTTAAGTAACTGAGTGGTTTGAAACAATTTATAAATGATAGCTAGGATTTGAACCCAAGTGGTTTGTCTTCAGATGCATAGGGCTCTTAAGCCAAATTGGCTCATGGCTGTTTTTGTACAGCCAGCGAGAAATGTAAGAATGGATCTTACATTTTTAACGTGTTATTAAAAATTTTTTTCTTGATTTTTGCAAATTTAAAATGAAGGACTGGATCGTGTGTGATTACTTGGGAAGACAGGGATCAAAGGCAGCTGGGATAGTGCTGATTACTTGTGTAATGCCCCTATTTAGACATTGATTTTCAGATGGACTTTATGAGCTGCTTTAGCATTTGGTGACAGGCTATATTAGCAAAAAAGATTTTCTGTTTTAAAACCATGTTTTGTCTTTGAAAAGAAAAATTGAGTCACCACTGAACATTAATAAATTCTGTTCAGATGTCAACAACTATTTGGAGGAAAAAGCAACTCTAATAATGCATTTCTTCCCCCAAAACTGTTAAATGAATTAATAAGGGAACATAGGATGTTTTGTCTTTTCTAAATAAATTGACTTCTTGGTTTTTGGAGAAATGCTGAAATTCGTCTGAATTTTCATAGAGAGCTAAATATTCAACCATTTAAGAAATATTTATTAAATGTTACTGTAATGTTAGGCATTTGGGGGGACTAAGAACAGATGATTATTACAGAAGTTTTTTTTTTTTTTTTTTTTTTTTTTGGCCATTTATTTGATGCATGGCGTGTTTCTTATTCATACAAACTATATCAACCTATTTTCTAATAGAGTCAGAAGGTGGCAATAGAGGTTACATTTGGTTGTGTTGAGTTTCTGTTTGTCTGTTTTTTGATATGATAGTGCCACGTATCTTGCTGAAACCCAGCAGAAGATGAGATAGCCCTAGCTGTTATAGATTGCCGGTTGCAGTGTTTGGTGGGTGCCTATTATTAAAGCCCGTTTTCTCACATCTCACTTTATCATTCTGCTTCTGGAGGTGCATTGGGTAAGGTATTACTTATAGTTATATAAATTGTAACATTTCGTTAAACAACTCTGCTCTAATAATTTCATCTTTCCTTTTACCTAGGTAATTCAGACTGTTAAAAGATTTACATTGAGTAATTTTCTATATTGTTTTGATTGGAAGATTAGAGATTTTGCATTGTTGAACTATCACTTTTTAGTTATGGGAATTTTCAAACATATACAGAAATAACCAAGTTTCAGCAGTCATCACACATGGTCAGTCTTGATTAATCTTTGTCTTCCTCCTCCTTTGCCTTCCGTCTACCCCAAATAACTTCAGAACAAATAGCAAACACTATATCATTTTACTTAGTAAATACTTCAGTATGTGACTCTTAAATTATAAGGACTCTTTTAAAAAAGTGAATGCCATTAGCACACTAAAAAATTAGCAGTAGTTTCTTAATATCAACAAATATCCAATTAGTGTTCAAATTTTACTAATTTTCTTATAAGTGACTTTCTACAGTTCAAATCAGAACCCAACTAAGGTCCATGATTTATATTTGGTTGAAGTGTCTCTTAATGATGTTAATATATTACATTTCACTTCTCTTTTTTCCCTTTTGCCATTGATTCTATAGGTCATTTGTCCTGTAGAATTTCTCATGCTCTGGATTTTATTGACGGCATTTTTTTTTCTCTCACATCATATTCTTCTGTCCCTTTATTTCTGGTAAATTTAGGTTAATTTTTTTTGACAAGAATATTTCATAAATGGTGAGAACATTGAATTATTGAATGGATTGATGAAAGTTTGTCAGTGGTCCATGTTAGCACTTATTTTACTGTCTCCAATTAAGATTTACTTCTTATCATAGAAATGATACTGAATAGCAGGTAAGAGGAAAGAGCTATTTATATGTAATTTTAAACATACCTTCCTTTAAAAAAATTACATATTTATTATGTGGTTATAGCAGTAGTACAGAAACAACAGGATTCCTTATTTGGCATAGGATTGGTAGACACTGTCAGACTGCACATTTCTAAGCTTTGCCTTTTGAGTAACTGGATTTGGTAACATTTTTGTCTACCGAAGGGTCTGGCCAGCAGTACTTTTCCTATTAAGGATGATGATATCCTTGCTGTTTATTTTACACTGAAAATGTAAAAATTCATTCAGTCAAAATCTACACTCGTAGCTAAATCTTCTGACTTATGTAGAAAAATTTAACTGAGAAATTTATTTTTAAATAGGGTTATTTTATTACAGAGAAAAGAGAATTTAAAAGGATGCTTTTTACTCTTATAAAACAAAATCTGGCATTCCCTATTTCAGAATTTATTATGAGTGGTAATGTCAAATTTTCTTAATCAGTTAAGCCCTGTCTGTAACTTTATAAATGAAATTTTATTTTTTTATAAAAGAGTAGTTAATTTAAAAATTGTTCTTAAGATATATGAACTCAGGCCTTGACAACTTTAATGAAAATGACTTTATTTTCCCTAGAATATTTATTTCCTATGGAAGAGTATAGAAGAAATACCTCTTCCTTGAAGGAAAAAAAAAAAAAAAAAAAAAAAAAACCTAAGAATGTTGATATTTATCTTCATGGAAATGTTTTCTTTTTTTGGTTTATGAATGAATGTTTGAACTTATTATTTCTTTATGTGTATTACACTTATTCGTATTTTGTTGTTTTAGTTATTTTCAAAATTTAGTGGAAAATAACCCCAGTTCACATGGAATTATTTTTAACTGATTCCTATAATGCATTAATTCTTTGCCCAGTGTTTATCTATTGCTTAGGAGACATGTAACACCTTCTGAATTTTTTCTTATTAATAACGGGCAGGTGAAAATCAAGTGATATAACTTAGTGTCTAGAATGTTGAAAAGATGTTAGTCTTGCTTTGTTAGTCCTTGGATTCTCCTAAATCTTCAGGTTAAAGAAAAGTCTCAGCCTTTCTGGCAGTTGCTGATGCACTTGTTTCTTTCATGCATTTTCCAACATGCATTTTCTGGATAAGCATCATACTTGATAGCTTCTGTAGGTACTTTGTAATAACACCTCATATCTACGTACTTCTAAGAAGAGGTGTTACATTGGACTGAAAATAAGCCATTTAAAAATCGTAATAAAAAGCTATATATTTACCAGGACAGAGCTGATTTTAGATCCGTTTATTCTTTAAGAAAAAAACAAAACACTGGAAAAATAATGATATAATTGTGACTTTGAAGATTTTTCATATAAAAATTTATGAATAGGAGGAAGAAATTAAGATTTTCTTTCTAAAATTTGCTTCTAGTGTGTCACAATTTATTTTAAACAATATCAGTCTTATGACTGGATCTTTTCTTTATTTGCACATCAGTGGTTTAATATAATGTGCTGTAGAATCTTACTGATGTGTGTCATAAATCCGGGAGGATTTATAGGTGACAGTAAAACTGTTTGATTAGATAATGTCTAGGAGAGTCTTAAAGCTTACAGATCAAAAAATGTGTATTTTATGCAAGTTTTTCTCTCAATATTAAAATACTCTATTGAGGATGTGCTTTTTCTTAAGCATTAAGGCAATTTTTTTTTTAGCCATTAAAATAATTTGTAATTTGATGGTACATTATTTGGCAGGAATATAACCAATTTGAATTGCCTATTTTTTCAACAGCTCTTTGTTTAGTCTTAGGTAGATTAGCAAACCAGAGCATTCCCTTGGGTTTAATGAGGTCTGTAATCACTGTAGTGAGTTCTAATGTGTTAGCATTTAACCTCTCGGTAAACCTTCTTACGTTATTTCCTTCTGTCTTTGCAGATAAATTATTAGTTGTAACTGTAGCAACAAAAGAAAGTGATGGATTCCATCGATTTATGCAGTCAGCCAGATATTTCAATTATACTGTGAAGGTATGGTATATCCTTTAATCTATGGAGATGTTAGAATATGTACCTAAATTACATTATTTATAACAACAACAATAAGAGCACAATCTGTAATACATACAAGGAGATAAAATGTGGTTATATAATTGCTACTAGTTTATATATGGTTTTAAAGAAAGATTTTGTTCCCAATACTTTGGCACTCTGATAATATCTTTTTTAATATTTGCTAATGCTTTATAGAAACATGTTTTATAAAACAACAGAAAAATATGTTAATACGTTCATGTGTGTAGGAAGGTACTTCAAAAAAGTTCATGGAAAGATTATATTATCTTTTAATTCTATTTTTCCACGAAGTTTTTGAAGTACCTGCGCGCGCGCGCGCGCGCGCGTGTGTGTGTGTATGTGTGTGTAATTTCTTTGGAGGGTCATGCAGAAACACAATATAACTAAGATTTGATAGTAATTTTTTTCACTGCCTGAATATTTTTTCTGTAATGGGTTTGTCTGTCATAGTGCATGTCTTTGTTTATAGAGATTTGGAAACATGCCTGTGAATGGGATGTCTTTTCTGTTCATTATTAAGAGTTGCTTTTCCTGTTTGTTTTAGAGGAATTTGGGAGCACTGTAAAAGTATAAAAAGGTTTTAGAAGACTTATCTCTAGGAGATAAACGATTAGAGGAAACTTGGGGAAGTTTATAGAACCGTTAAACTGAACTATAAGAAGCTTGCCTTTTTAGTTTACTTTTTAAATTTCTTAATAGAAAAAAGATCTGTCAGCCAGGTCTTTTATATAAGTAAGAGGAGACTAGGAGGCTTCTAGGTAGGATTTTTTTTTTTAGACCTTAAAAAAAAAAGAGGGGAAAGATTGCTTTTTGCTTGGGAAAAACTGAGCTGTTCTAGTATGTAATGTAGAAAAGAGGTAGCATTTATTACATAATCACTGGAAAACTAGGTACAGATGTCAATATAGAATAGCTATTGAAGAGGCTTAAGTTTGCTGGAAAAGAGATCTCGTGATAACAACTAGATGTTTAGTGCAGGATAAATGGGAAATATGTTAGAAATATGTTAGGATAGATGAGAAATATAGCAGTATGTACTGAGAGGAGATGCTGTGGAAGTAACAGAAAAAATTAGAATAAAATAATACTGAAATCCAGTGGAGGGATATTTAGGGCTCAGACTGTGGAGAGAATGGAATATTTCTACATGCAAGGCACCTGCTCAGGCACTTTACACATGGTGTGCTGTTGATTCATTATAGGAGCCATGTGAGGTAGATGTTACTGTGTTTATGGGTGAGGAAAACTTGTCCCAGGATGCACAACTATAATGTGTCAGATCTTGGACCTTAGCCCCATATAGAAAGGAAAATGCTCAAGCCTTACCCCAGATCAACTGAATCACAAATTCTGGGATTGGCACCTCCACGTGATTATGAGGCACACTGAAGCCTGACAGTCACTGATGTGATGGAAAGAACGTAGAGACTGGTGCTTAACATAGTGCGCTGAGCACAGTAGGCTCTCAGATGTGGCTGGGTGCATGCAGCATTACTACAGGATTGGAGACTCCAGAAGGGTTGTGTAGCAAATCTTAGGGCCAGAGGAGGCCACTTTTTATGGCAAAAACTAATAATTCTACTAGATTAACCCCAGTTTGAATCCAAATCCACAACAGCTTGATTTTTCTTGGAAAGCACTTATCCCCCACCTTTCAGTATAGGTAGTGATGAAGTGATAATAAGAGATTTGAGGCTGGGAGCTTCACAGGCTTTGCCAGCTGGTTATATTTGGCTCAGTGTTCAGTAAAGTTGGAACTAATAGTGTTATTTTCTAAATTTATTTTATCCTTTTCTTGTATTTGGTTTAAATTTCATTCCACCTTAATTTCCCACATCTCCTAGTAGATCTTTATTTTGGCAACTTCAGACTTCGTTTTGACGACACTAAGGTAAACAGTGTGTATGAGGAGGAGGAGCATGTATTATACTTTCTGCTCCCTCAGAGCCAGGCCTGTCAACAACGCATTTCCAGTTCAGGAGCAGCTGCTGAAGCTGAGGCTGATAGTGAAGAGAAAGAACACAGGGTTAGTTCTGATTACTTGTGTGCAGGCAATTTCTTGTATTGATAAATTCTCATTAAGCTTTTGAGGATGATGTAATTTTATGAGTTATGAGATAAAGAAGGTAACGTTTCACCTGATGCCCTCTGTGTTTTCCTGAACAATCCATTTTGGTTTAGTAGGAAAATCGCTTAAGGGCCTAATCCAGGAGTCACTGACTTTAAAGGGCTTTCAGCTTTGGTCATACGGTTTTGCTGGCAGATTGAAAAAGTCTGAACACACAGGAATAACATAATTAAATAAGAGAAATACTTTGGATCCACCTTTTTGGATTAGACCTTTAACTTTGGAAATGGTGAAATTGGGAATGGCATTTATAAGAGAAATACTTTCTGGATCCACCTTTTTGGATTAGACCTTTAACTTTGGAAATGGTGAAATTGGGAATGGCATTTTTGGAGTGGATACCACTGAAGAATTATGACTTGACATAGGCATGAAGTTTTTTTCTTTCTAGCATTATGATTTAAGGAAACATTTACTTATTTTTATTTCTGATTTTATTTGTTTCCTTGTATAGACCTTATATGAGACTTGCTGCTAAGAAGACCTGTGCTGTAATGAAACATTTAAAGAGTGGTTATGGTGCAGTACTGTGCAAGTTGCTGATGTCTTTCAGTTTTTTTGTGGTACTATCATAATTTGAGTATTGCTCAGGGATGAAATGTTGATTTTATTTATAGGTCCTTGGTCAAGGAGAAGAGTGGAGAGGTGGTGATGGAATTAATAGTATTGGAGGGGGCCAAAAAGTGAGATTAATGAAAGAAGCTATGCAACATCATGCCAGTCAAGATGATATGGTTGTTTTGTTTACTGAATGGTAAGAGAAATCCCCTGTGGATTTTTAATTCTATATTAAATTATTTTTTAAAAGAGCTGAAATATGTACTTGTAGATTATGTATTACTTTATTTAAATGTATTATTTTTTTTTACAAGGAATCATAGTTTTATGAAGTAGATTTTACTCATAGTTATAAAATCATGGTCTGACATTATGATGTAATATAATCAAAGTTGATGAGTTACCATAAATATCAATGAGAAAACATGGCACGAGCTAGCATTTTTGTGAACTTCCTGTTTTAATCCTGAATTAAAGATAGAGTCAAGTTCATGTGAGCTTTTTCTATTGAGAAATGTAACTCAATGGATTCTAGTCAACCAGCAGGAAAAAGATCATGCAAAGTTATAAACTCAAGTGAGACATGAGAAAGCCTGTGTTGGTAAGAAAAAAGAGCCTTCCCAATGTGTAGTATCTTTTTGTATACTACTTCACTCTCCTAATTAATTTGAAATATCTACTGTCTTTGCAATCATCTTACATTTTTATAGCAACATCCAGTTGTCATGAGTCATTAGTTGCCAATTCCTCTCCCATTCTCTGTGTCTTCTTTTTATTTATTTATTTATTTAGTTGACTAAAATCTCTTTCAGTTTTCCCCTCTAACTTACGAAAGCCTTTTTATATCTTTCTCTCAATTTGAAAATGCAAAGATACAAATTATTTGCAGATGAAAATAATTTTTTTTGCAAGTGTACAAATAAGAAAGACAGTAATTTTGAAATGAAAATATAGACATAATGAAGTTCTAGTGCCATCAACACTTAAAAGTTTCAAAAGGATCCATAATACTTGCACCTTTAGGATTTTCCTGGTGTCTTCCAGACAAAAAGTTAAGTTTTGCTTGTGGTTACTTATTCTTACAAGATGAGGTGTGGTAAGGCTGGTGTTAGCTTGTATACTGGGAATTTTTCTACAGCATCTATTATTTTATATCTTTTTACCCCTAGAAAAATAATAAGCTCGTTATAATAACTGTTTAGATTAAATATTGAGTATGTTTTGGTTTAAAATTACCATGAATTTCATAGCATCTATTATTTTATATCTTTTTACCCCTAGAAAAATAATAAGCTCATTATAATAACTGTTTAGATTAAATATTGAGTATGTTTTGGTTTAAAATTACCATGAATTTCAAATAACTATATGAGTCAGCTTGTACTTGCCCCATGTACATTTTGATTTGGGCTCTGAGGCAGATTCTCCTTGTAAAAGTGATCCCATATGAGCCAGTAATGATTTTAGAGTCTCAAGCCTCCTTTGGGTTTTAGGAAGAACTTCTTTTCTCTACCCTTACCTTCCCATCCTTATCTTACCACCCGCCCTGTCTAAGATTTAGCCTTGTGGGGAGCTGGTGTAGTGAGGGGCCTGTTTGTTTCTGATGAGAAAAGGGACACTGTGAGATATATACAGTCTCTTGAGACTGGGTTTGTTCACTTGGATGGTACTTTAAGACCCAGCTTGACATAACAGACGATAAAATTTTAATGGAAGACTTAGTGTCTTCCAGACACTATTAGTGTTTGGGATATGTCAGTGAACCAAACACGCAAAATTTCCAACAACTCCTCCTGTGAGAACAGCCAGCCAACTGAAAACATGAAGGCCCAACTCAGCCAAGCCGTTGCTCAAGAAGAGTCATCAGTATTTTCTCCTTCGTTACCCACCATGTCTGTCCCAGACACCATGAGGAAGTAACTAAGAGGGTAAAGAGGGTGAGCAACGGGTGTCACTTTGGAGCTTTTTTTCCTTATTTTTTTTTTAAACACCCTTTTCTAAAAGTATTATGCACAGAGTGATGAATACAGTTGAAAGTTGTAGGTAATCTAGGGCCTGGGTGAAATAAATTAGGCTGTTTATAAATTATTTGAAATATGATGCCCATTCTGTAACAGAATTGCTCATCTCCTAATTAAGTTTGCCTCTGGTCAAGGGCCAGAATTCAGAATACATTTATTTTAATAAAATAAATTCTAATTTCTTTTGTGATTTTTTAAAGGGCAATTCAAATGTAATAATTAGTTATATGGAAGCATAGATCACCACTGTATAAAAAAAATACACAGATTTATGTCCTTAATAATTCAGATAGGCCTTTTTAAAAAAACAGCTTTATCGAGGTATAATTTATATAACATGGCATACAATTATTTTAAGTGTAAAATTCAGTGACTTTTAGTAAATTTACAGAGTTGTGCAATCATCACCACTATTCAATTTTAGAACATTTCCAGTACCCAATAATGATCCATTGTGGCCATTTGAATAGGCTTTTGTGAATTAATTTAGAAACAATTTTATAACATGACTTCCATGGGAATATATATTCTGAACTGACTTTTTGGTGAACATTTAATATTAGTATATTATAAATATACTCTGTAAGTAAAATTTATCATATTTAATTTAGATAAAAAGAAATATTTGGCAAGGTTTTAGGTTCTTCTCAAAACAAAATGAAAACTGAAGATCTCCATATGGGAGCATACCTCAAAGTTTTTTTTAAGTTATTTCATACTGCACTGTGTCCATATGTGTGTGTGTATGTGTGTTTCCTTGCAATTAGTATGGCATATAAAGTTTGATAATCTCCCCTTTATTAGAACAATTATGAATAAATATAATGGACTTGGTGACTTTTAGTAGATGAAGTATGATGGATTCTTGTGATTATGGGCTAATGAAAATTTGGGGGACAAATACAAGTATTGTCAGTTCGTGGCTTCAGATTCCCTTAAGGAGACAAATGATTTCATAATGATTTTATAATATATCTTAGTCAAGGTAAATGAGCATCTTGAGTTTTATAATAAGGTACTTTGCATTACTTTAAGGATTATCTTATAAAGCATATATTTCTTTTAATCTAGTAACATTGAAGAAAGATAATCAGACCTAATTATTATATGGTGACCAGTGGGTTGTTGGTATATTTTCGGGGCACAATAAAAAGGAATCAATAAATATTGGGTAGCAACGAATTGTATTACAAGGAGAAACAGAACTTGCAAGAGGTAGAAATATGGTGGATACTTTAAAACTGTATTTCAAGATTTTTTTTCTCTGTTCGTTTGGAGAAATAGTGACTTGTAAAGGCAGGAAAGCATTAAAATTTTTTAAATCTCAGAGGATTGGAATTATTGAAAAATTGAATTGATTAGAAACTGTAAATATGATGCTGCTGTTTCTGATCTTTTATATGTCAGCCAATGTTTGTTTCAGCTTCTCATTAAACATTATTTTGCTAAAAAGTGAGCTGAGTGAGCTAGTTTTTCCCTTTACATTCAGTATACATGTATTGAGCACAAAATGTGATCCAGGCATTGAGCTTAACATTAACCAAAGAAAGAGAGACAGGGACAGATCCCATCTTTCCAGAATTCTCATTTAAATCATACTAATTCTACAAATCATATTTTCGGGGCACAATAAAAAGGAATCAATAAATATTGGGTAGCAACGAATTGTATTACAAGGAGAAACAGAACTTGCAAGAGGGAGAAATATGGTGGATACTTTAAAACTGTATTTCAAGATTTTTTTTCTCTGTTCGTTTGGAGAAATAAGGCAGGAAAGCATTAAAATTTTTTAAATCTCAGAGGATTGGAATTATTGAAAAATTGAATTGATTAGAAACTGTAAATATGATGCTGCTGTTTCTGATCTTTTATATGTCAGCCAATGTTTGTTTCAGCTTCTCATTAAACATTATTTTGCTAAAAAGTGAGCTGAGTGAGCTAGTTTTTCCCTTTACATTCAGTATACATGTATTGAGCACAAAATGTGATCCAGGCATTGAGCTTAACATTAACCAAAGAAAGAGAGACAGGGACAGATCCCATCTTTCCAGAATTCTCATTTAAATCATACTAATTCTACAAATAAATAAATAAATAACTGAACAAGCCCAATGTGGAAGAATGCGTGTCTTCAACAAAATCTGAACTTGGCATAATCTCTTTAAAATAATTTATTTTTAGGAAATTGTGAAAGGTTATGTTTTATTGGGTCACCTTTGTTAATTGTTTGTGAAAGTATCATTTTTGTGATTTTATTGTTATTATTGAAGAGGTATAATTTATATGTAGTATTCTAAAGGTGACCAAATCCTAACTTGTTTGTACTCAATGAAATAAACATTTTATATCACTCATAATTCAGGTTACATGCCCAGTATGCCTGCCTTTTTATATTGTTACATAGTTTATACAGAAGATAGAGTAAAAATTTTCTGAAAGCAAAGCTTTTCAAATACGATATTTATTATTTTATCTACAATGGCAGATTTATTTGATGGACTCCTCCTCCCCTGCAGTGATGACAGTTTAAGTGTGCAGACACAAAGAACCTACTCATTAGCGATGGACAACATTTCATTATATTAGTTTGAAGAAAAGCAAAAACATATCAAGGCTCCCAGTTTCTGTACTGTTTCTTTCACTCTTTTTTTTTTTAAGTAAAGATTGAAATTATTAGCTCTTGCTTAATCAAATACGTTGCACTACCTCTGGCTCATCTAGAGTAGTATAAAATGTGTTTAGAAATTAAGTAGGAGATGAGTGATTTTTGTTTTGTCAAATTATTCAAATGTTCTTGTTAATACTTAGTATTGACTGAGCATATTAATGGGTATGGTGGAATGAGGAAGAAGCAGATGATATACAAAAGAAGTATTGGGTGTTCAATATGTCTAGATTGATTGTCCCTGGTTATTCTCCTGTGTGATTATTTTGTCTGTCTATTGTGTGTGTGTGTGTGTGTATGTAGGTATGTATATATTCTCAAAACAGATTGTGTACTCCTTGAATTTTGCTCTTTTTAGTAAACATGTATTAAGCATTTGTTATGTGCTAAATATGGTACTAGTGCTGTGGCTGGGGGCTGGCTGGGACAGAAATCCTGCCCTCTGTATACATTTTTCTTTCAACACCTTTGTGTATGTTGTATCTGGCATGTTGTACCTTTATCATAATA